CTATTAAAGTATTATACACCTTCTGCTTGGCAATTGCAAGTTGTCTGATTCTGATTTTTTTTTTTTACCTTAAGAGATTGAAATCTCAGAAGAACATATTTGTTCTTGTAAAAGTAACATTAGATCTTTTTATGCTAATACCAACTAAATCTGACATGTGTACATACATTAATGCTAATTAAGGGGAATACCTGACCAAAAAGGTATTCTTTCTAAGTAGTAATGGTGTCTCCTATAGAAGGTCAGCAACCAAAATGTTTCATAATATTTTAACCTAAAGAAGTCAATAAGTATTTCCCTCTGGCCTTTCTCTTTCTTCTTTTGCTCTGCTCTAATTAGCTTGCTGACTCTGTAATTGTGAATACCACAGTTTATTGTTACTGTAAGATCCAGGTGACAATAGCCCGAGGGCATCACCAGAGACTTACCAGAAACTTGAGCAGAGTATGATTAGTTCTGAAAACATAATTGTCAAACATGTAAATTTACTGCAGCATTTCAGCCACATTTAGCAATATTGTAAAATACAATTTTCTTGTCAGTACGACTCTGAGCTAGTTTGTTTATTTTTTTTCCCCCCTGAAAGATCCACACCTCTGATATGTTTTAACCTAAAATTGCATTAAGATTTCAATAACCAGTTTGCGTGAATGCATAACACAAAAGTGCATGCGTAAAGCCAGAGTATAAGGGTCACTCTCGGGCATTGCATGCATACAGTTAAAGATGAAAGTCTAAGTTGTGTGAAACCATCACAGAGATAACTTGGAAAGCTATCCAACAGTTACTATATCACTTACTTGCAATACATATTAACCTTTCACATGACAGCAAACCAATACATTATGTTCATGTGAATGTAATTATGGCTAATATGCAAACCGTTCTGCCAGCTCTTGTGCAATATTGACCAGTCTTCTTCGATTGTTTACATAAGGTGAACATTTACATACATCACAACAGCAATTTGAAATTTGTTATTTAATTTAACAAATATTCATTTTGGAGGGGATTGATATAAAACCTTGAAACTCTGTGCCACCCGAGTGTGGACTGACACAGCCGAGAAAACGTGGAAGTGTGCTACACACAGGACTGTAACACTGGTTCACTGTTGCCCATTCAGCCTGTGAGTTGATCCTGGCTTGATTTAAACAGCACTCTTCTCTCACATAACTCCCATCAGCTGCAGATGACTAAATATTTTTCCATCAGTCTCAAGGAGGCCATCCAAAATCAACCTCACACTACAGATGTGATCTCCTCCTGACCTTGTTTTGTCTGCTCTGTCCTCTGTTGCACCCTTCTCAGCCTCACCCTCCTTCCGACTAATGGATTAAGGTAATTATGGCATGGCTGTGCCCACATTCTGTTGGTAGAGTGAAAATTGATATTCCAGTTTTGCTGTTCTCACCGGACCGTTGATGAAATTGCACTGCGCTTGAGCAATACCACAATTTCTCGTCTGTAGAGTTGTAAGTCATGGCTTGTATTTGTGCACTTTGATTTTATTATCAAGAATAATACTAAGAATAAGACTGTGACTTCCTGCTATTAACTATGTGCTGGCAGGGAGCTAACAGCTGTGAGGAATGTAAAAGAAAACTTGGAAAACAAATTACCTTATCAAGTCTCAGCGAGAACTGAGCAACCCCCACAACCTGCATCCACGCAAACACCATCTGAAAAACAGAAAAGAAGTCAGTGAACTCTGATCACCCTACTTGATTCACTTTTATCAGTCAACAACGCAGAGGGATTCCAGGTAAGGCTGCACTAATAAACTAATAAATGTTACTCCTTGTGCAATTCTCCAGCTTTTCAAAAAGTTGGAGAATCACTTGCACTATTCATAAAAAGAGAATTCAGAACAAATTAAAGCTGATCACCTTTGGTGCTTTTATCACAAAGAAGCAGCCGATTGTTCATGTCTCACAGTTTTTTTTTTTTTTTTTTTGTGTCAGAACACCGCTCTGATCAAAGTATGTCAAAGCATCAAAATGGGAAGATAACTTGACAAATTAGGCAGGCAGTGCTGATCAATAGCAGATTTGTTTATGACTAAAATAATACAGTTAATAGTAACATTTGGCAATTTATTTAACTTTTTGTAAAAGCCCCTATGACGGGTTTCATTTTGACTCTTAGAAAACATTAAACCCTTGATATGTTTGAAAGAAAATTAATTAGCTCATCTATTACTTCAACATAAAAAATAAAAAAATTAAAATGTTCTGTCATATTTGTCAAGTGTTATTGTGGCTCACACATGGTTTTGAATTGGAAAAATTTTAAGAAAGTACATTTTTTCCAAAAACATATTTGTGAAAAGTAATGTGAGCAAGTTTATTGTCAGTGACTTCTGTTTATGAGAGTTCAAATGGGAGTGGCCAAATGGCAGGACATCTCTCTCCCCAGAGCCACTCACCAGCTCATTCTGGAGAATCCTACAATGTCCAGGACAGGACAAACATGTATATCAAATCGAATAAAATACAGTTTTATTCAAAGTGCTTTACGTAATAAAAGCACAACAAATGACAAGTGAAACATCACATTTTTGCAAGTGCCATCTTTACACATCAAAATTGGATTGTGTTTTGTTTATTATGGTAGAAAAGCAACCTTCACAGGTGGGGTGTAAGTCAAGACTTAAAGGAACTCAGTGTTTCGGCTGTTTTACAATTTTCTGGATGTTTGTTCCAGATTTGTGGTGCATAGTCTAATGGTAATGTTATATATTTCTGTAAGATTGTCTAAAATTGGTTCTCTTATCATTACCTCCTCCCTCATGGCTTCAGGAATTTTCCCTTCAGCTGTTGACTTTTCCAAAACAGATCTCGCTTTTGATTGCACCATCAATAACTTCAAACGCACAAAACCAACTAAGTTAAATCTGCTCCTTTCTCCTGTCGTTACCAATGATCTTTCTCTGTTTGTATGTTTGTCTCACTCTGCTTTAGCCGTGCCACCTGGGAATGGACCACTGCTGTGCCTTTCCACAAGCAGGTAACCCAAACAGAAAACACAAGGAATTGATACAAATGAGAACAATGACAGATCTCTCCCTTTCTCCAACAAATCCTCACTAATGTGTTAAAATATACACTCAAAGACATAGATACGTTAAACTTGTAACTAAAGTCATCAAGCACATTGTTGTGTATGATAGTTTTATGTCTGAATCATTGCTTGTTTTTTTTTCTTCATTGATTTGTCAAATTTCTCTACATCTATTTAGCAAAAGTATTCGAGAAGTTTAAGGGCTGTGGATATGTTTTACACTCACTCTAAATCAACATAAACATTGAAAGAACAAAGTTTCCAGACATTTTAAAGCCAACAGAACGAGAGGAATAGGGCTTATGGTTCATGAATAGATGAAGAATCCTCTTAAACTGGCACCATTCATATATCTGATGGTGCCTATTAAATAGTGTGCATACAGGAATCTAAAAAGCACACTGATGTACAAAAGAGACAAAATATGATTTTAAGTTTTTGTCAAAGGAACACTTGTCAGGACCCAGTCAGAGGATGGACAACACACTGCAACACAATTAACATTTTTTCCATCTCTGGTTTTCTAACAATTCAATTTTCCAACAAAGTGGTGGAATCCTTTTGGTTATATCTTAAATGCATTCAACCATTATAAAATGGGAACCAAAATGTAAATGTATCAGTTTTAAATCTGTTATCTCTGTGGATCAAATTCTGTACAATCATATAAAAAAAAAATGAAGGAATGCTTAAAAGTGTTTCTCCCTGAACCTATGCATGACAGTATGACGAGCGAGGGCACACAGAGATATGCTCTGCAGAAAGAAAGAAAAAAATTCCATACTGTCTCATGACCCTGTTGTACACAAGTCAATTAGAAGTCAGAGACCTCTGAACTGAGATAAAGTTCAGTGTGCTGGAGATCTTTTTATGACACCTAAAGCAACGCCTAGGCTAGAACTCAGATAAAGTGATGTTTTATTACAGCTGCACATCATAATAGTTTGAACCGAACACCGGGGTCACCAGCATTCATTTCGTCGGACATGACGTCTTGGACATAAAAAAATGCATCTTGTAAAAATGTACATAAAAAATGTCTCTTTTATATATGTGTGTGTACGCGTGTGCTTCTAATTATTTCTAAGAACACATGTATCATGTTCTTCTACTTTCTTTATCCTTGCAACTTTTGCATAGAACTGCCTGAGAGGAATGCTTACATGACCAAAAGGTGGCAGTGTTGAGTTTTGCAATTTTGTTGATAGCGGAGACGGGACAAACCTCCGAGTTCATTGGTCATATTATTTACATGACAAATTCAGAATTTGTCAGACAAAAAAAAATAAATAAAAAACTTGTATCAGAGCTCCGTTGACGGTTAATGTGCGGTACAACATATAGATGTAATTAAGAAAAATATAAAAAAGAAAAATCATATGTTAATTCTTAGAAATGACGCAATATATATGCAGAAAAGATACACTAAAATAGAAAAGTGCATTTATTTTAGTGAAACAGGCAGAGAAGCAGGGGAAAAAATGTCTGTCTGTCTGTCTGTCTGTCTGTCTGTCTGTCTGTCTGTCTGTCTGTCTATCTATCTATCTATCTATCTATCTATCTATCTATCTATCTATCTATCTATCTATCTATCTATCTATCTATCTATCTATCTATCTATCTATCTATCTATCTATCTATCTATCTATCTATACGTTTCCTATGAATGTCAGCATGCAAAACTTTTTTGGTTTTAAATGGCACAGTGGTCCGTATGTCATATATCGTTATGACAAACACTTTATCTAATAACTAAAACACTGAGTTATTAAACAAAGTTCAATTGCCGGAGCCAAAGAGAGTCAGTCGCGGCTGACAGACAGCTGGTGGCCTCTGTCAGTTGAGAAAAGTTTTTTTTTTTTTTTTTTCTGAGCGCTTCTGATATGTTAATTAGCTCTGCGAGTGTGCGACCCTATTGGCTCTTCGTCCGAGTCAATTTCCCGTTTCCAGCCTTACGTCAGGGCGGCTACAATGCTCTTAAACTCATCTGCTGTGTGATCCCAGTAAAAAATCGTCCCACTAGGTACTCAGCGGCATCAAAACGTGCGAGACCGACTCTCGGCTTGTTTTCCCCCCCAACACCTCTCTCCGCTCGCGTAATGTGTTCCTGAAGAAGGCGTTAAGTGTTAAATGTTTGAAACACAAAACCACCGTGTTTCACATGCTGAAAGAGGACTTCGCTACTCGTGCGCGCGGCACTGCTGCGTCTGTGCAATAGACGCAAAGAAAAACTCCTCTCGCACGCCTGCAACTCCGTGGCTGCGCAGAAAGGACGCTGCAAAACCTCGTTTTTTCTAGTTTCAAGACAAACGCTTAAAAATTCAAACTGGCTCACGTCTTTCCCAACCAGCCCAGTTTGACAGCTGCTCTTCACCCCGCTTGGAGGACTGTCAGCAGCAGCAGCAGCAGCAAGAGGATGGCATCAGAGCTGGCAATGAGCAACTCCGACCTGCCCACCAGTCCCTTGGCCATGGAATATGTTAATGACTTCGATCTGATGAAGTTTGAAGTGAAAAAGGAGCCGGTGGAGCCCGATCGCAACATCAGCCAGTGCAGTCGCCTTATCGCCGGGGGATCCTTGTCTTCCACCCCGATGAGCACGCCTTGCAGCTCGGTGCCCCCTTCCCCAAGCTTCTCGGCGCCCAGTCCGGGCTCGGGGAGCGAGCAGAAGACACACATAGAGGATTTCTACTGGATGTCCGGTTATCAACAGCAGTTGAATCCAGAGGCGCTGGGCTTCAGCCCCGAAGACGCAGTCGAGGCGCTCATCAACAGCAGTCACCAGCTCCAGTCCTTCGATGGCTACGCCAGGGGCCAGCAGTTTACTGGCGCGGCCGGGACAGGAGGTTCCATGGCCGGGGAAGAGATGGGCTCCGCCGCGGCCGTGGTGTCAGCTGTGATCGCTGCGGCAGCTGCCCAGAACGGGGCGCAACACCACCACCACCACCATCACCACCACAACGGCAGTCACCACCAGGCACCCGGCGTTCAGTCCAACGGCACTTCTGGGACGAATCACCCTCACATGCGCCTGGAGGATCGGTTCTCAGACGAGCAGCTGGTGACCATGTCGGTGCGGGAGCTCAACCGGCAGCTGCGGGGGGTCAGCAAGGAAGAGGTGATCCGACTGAAGCAGAAGAGGAGGACCCTAAAGAACAGAGGCTACGCGCAGTCATGCCGGTTCAAGCGGGTTCAGCAGCGGCACGTCCTGGAGGGGGAGAAAACGCAACTCATGCAGCAGGTCGAGCACCTAAAGCAAGAAATCCAGGCTGGTCCGGGAGAGGGACGCGTACAAGGAAAAGTATGAGAAGCTCATCAGCAACGGCTTCAGAGAAAATGGATCCAGCAGTGACAACAACCCCTCATCCCCGGAGTTTTTCATGTGAGTCTCAAACTTATCGCGAAAAAAGAAATAAAAAGTCACCCCTCCGAAAAGTTTTGGTTATGAAGCTTTTTTTTTATCATCTTTTTTTTTTCCCGCAAAGCCAAATAGACAAAGAAGTAATTTGTCAAGTTTTTTATGATTTTATACTTTTTTGTTCTTGTTGTTTTTTGTGTTTTTTTTAAAAGAAGCAACTCCCTCAAGTCTGTGACTGTTTAAATGTGGAGGGTTTTTATTATTATTTTGGACAGGCATTATAAGGAAACTTTCATCAATTGTTTTTTGTTTGTTTTTGTTTTTTATTGTTAGCTGTACATAGCGCATACGATGTCTGTCAGGCTCTTTTTCCACCGCTGTTCATAAGGTTTGCAGTGCTGTTCTTTTTTTTTTTTTTTTTTTTTGAAAGTTGACTCAACGTCCCGCTGTTCAGAAAGTGTGCATGCATGCATTAAGCATACTCCTATGAAGTTTCTCAGTGTTCCCTTTTACAACTTTTTTACTTTTGATTCAATGTACAGGTCCCTGCAAAGCTGCAAACGGGCTATTTTTTTATTATTATTATTTTTAATTTACCAAACTTGGAGGATCGCAAGCCTGTCATTTGACGCCACCTCATCTCATGCGTTTGTCTCTCATTGTGTTGAGCAACGAAAATGACTGTACTTTCATCACAAACTGTCCATTGTTTTAAAGAAATTTGCTGTTGAACTGCCCTGCATGCTGGACATGTATGGTTTTCTTTTCTTTATTTTTGAGCTTGAAGATGTTCCCTTTTCTCCCCTTTCTTTATATTTGGCCGGATGACTCCAGCATGTCATTCATTACTCCCATCTTGGCCTCTCCTCACTTTTTTGGGACGAACACAAAAAAGTGACAGGACTCCCCCTCCCGCACCTCCCCTTCAAACGTATGCAAGTGCATTTCAGCTGTGTTGAAGTGCTCCACCATCGACTGTCATTATACGCTGCAGAAAGTGCGCAGAGCATTACCTGATGGAACTTTTGTCGGCGGAGATCCTGCAGCGAGAGGACGCAAAAAAAAAAAAAAAAAAAAAAAGAAAGAAAAAAAAGACTTCACATTTATAAGAAAATCACCAGTCCAGTCTCTGGAAGTCTAGTCTGTTGCTATAAGACGTTGTTATTTAAATATATACCATTGTGCATATGTCAACATTTGAATAATTTTCAATAGCCTACATAATTTAATTCTGAAGTTTTGTGATGCAAATTGCAAACAACAGGTTGAAACACAGATCGCCAAAGGAAGGAGAGGTTGTTTTAAAAAAAATAAAAAAATAAAATAAAAAGAAAGAAAAGGAAAAATAGTCGTTGATAAAAAATTGGCTTGGCTCCAATTTATAAAGTGATAAACATTGTCCTGTTCAGAAACAGTGCTTTTGCAGCATGCATTAATAAACTGAACTGTGCGCTCACACGTTTAAATATTATACACATATATTTTTTTATTATTTTAAAACAATATTTAAAATAATAAAAGTGCATAACAAACACGATTTGGAAAAAAAAAGGAAAAAAAATGTTAAATTGTCATCGTTGAAGGCGAAGTGACTTGCAATACACTTTCGAGAAATGTCTCTCTTTCAAACTGACGTACTGAACTGCACTAAAAAAAGATTTCGCCTATCGTTATGTGGGAATCAGGGAAATAAACAAATTATTCTGGAGAGCTCTCATAAAGATAAGATTGACAGCCTGTTACGACTTAATCGTAACGCTTCAATGTGTAATGATCAGGTCGGAAGAGAATGTTGTTTGTCTTTAAACTAAGTCAATATTTGCAAAGCAATAACTAATTATTATAATTATTATTATTCTAATCGATGATGTCTGGACATTGTTGGATCTTCAGGGATTGTTACCCTGCATGTACAAAAACGAAAGCACCATTCGCTAATGAATCTTAAAAGTATGTTAATTATTCTTTTTTTCTTATACATAGTATATATAAAAATATATATTTTGCTGTGCAAAATTATACCACTCACTAACCTTATGTGATGTTCATATGTGCTCTTTTTTTTCCATTTCATACAATTAAAAGATATGCAATAAATGTATGTAACTGTCTTCATTAAGTTTCTCATCTTTTTCTCTTTTGATTTGTCTAGAGACGTTTTGTCTTCGTGACTGAAGCATTCATTTGGGAAATTACAAACAAGCTGATGTGCCACATTGACTCTTTACTTTCAGCTTTTTTCCCCCCTAAACTATTTAATATATTTTTATCCCACTAATGATTAAATGACGGCTCATGCCAAAGCAGTGGGGGGAAATTCCCAAAACGTTTTGAAGCTTTGAGCTTAAATTTATGAAATAAGATTTTGGACAGTAGTTTAGATTGATAGAGGTCATACATTCTAATGATTGTGAGATAGTATAATCTGGATTATTCCAGTTGATTATAGTTATTTATTTATTTATTACCTAAGACAAGTTTAATGTCTTTTTTTTAGCTCCCATAAATTATATGTGAGCTACCTTCAACCTTCAAATTTTAACAAAAAAAAAAAAAAAAAAAATCTGCCCACTGCATGCTTTGTTCCCATTTGAGTGTCATATTCCGATTTTATACATATTCTATATAAAACCATTCCCCACCATCTCTATCTGAAACTGATTATGAGGTGAATTTAGTTGACAGTTTCTATTAATTTTATTGAAAACTGTGATGAGTGTGTGATCGTGCGAGAGTGTGTATTCAGGCTTTCTAATTGTTTTTTGTGCATGCGTGTTCTTCAGAGTGTTCCTGTGTGTAAAGCTTGTGGCAGCATGTGTTTATATAGGTATGGACTCAAACATGGGTGTATTTCCCTGAATGAGAGTTTTAATTGCATTTCTATATGCAAGTTTCTAGTGGTTTTGCATGTTTCAGATTTGCACATCACTTTAGTTCTTTCTCATTGTCCTGTTCGCCTCTGTGTGGTATCCTTGCTTCAGAGCATTTGTCATCGACGTGTCATCGTTCGGCCTACCCAGTTTCGCTCAGTCTTGCTCTGTTAGTCTATGGGTCTGATTGTTGGCCTCATGCGGATGTACTCAGGTCGACGGGTTGCAATGAGGGCACAGCTGTGACAGCCATGTGAGGGGGCGCACGAGGAGGTATGAGTATAAGTCAACTGCTGTGGTGAGCAGGAAAAACTTCTGCGCTTCTCAACTAAACCTTTTGCCTTTTTTTTTTTTTGCTGCTGTTTACACATCTTTGGTTGACCTCTTTCAACATAGCTGTTAAACACCATAGTGTTTAACTGAAAATGCTTGTCTTCTGAAACACAAGACTAAAAGTGCTTTTGTAAGTTCTGGTACGAGGAGTAGCCGCTTGGGCATCTTGTTTCACCGTCCCAGAACAATCTGTTTTTTGAAACAGGAAAACCAATGCGCCAAAATACATTTTGAAGAAACACTCAGGGCTTCAGAGGACAGATTCATAAAAAGTGAACCACACTCTCAGTGTTAATAAAGCACTTACTTTTCTAATTTTGTTCAGACTGTAGATTTTACAGGTACACATTTATTACTAAAATTACACAGAGACAAAGATAAAAAAGCCAAACTACACCACCTGCAGATGATGATGCACTTGCACACCTCCCCAAAAAACAGAGAGGGGAGGAAAAAGGCATTTTTAACCCACCACTTGTATCCCATTTGAGACGTGTGTGCTGCTGCTGTGGTGGCTGATTTGCCCCGAGTGAGCGGAGAGGCTGAGACAATAGTCGGTCTTGGGCTGAATTAAATGATTTTGCTGATGATTAATAGTGGTGTGGGCCAATGGCTCCTGCGATGTAGAGATGATAAATCGTGAGTGCAGCTCCATGCAGCTGTACCCGTTTTGGGTCTTAGCATGCACACACCATGCAATTTACAACCAAGCTGCTCTCCTTCTTCCTCAATTTATCTAATTACATCTATTTGATCTAAGCAATAGTGCTGCTGTATTTTGATGTTTCATATTAACCACAACACTGAACTAAATCACTTCAGGCAGATTAACTCCTTTTTATTCTTTTTTTTTTTTTTTTTTTACCCTTTTCTTTTTTACATATGTGTTTGACATTTCAGAGACAAAATCTTTCTTGACCAGATGTTTGGCTTCACTCTTCTGAATGCCATGCATTTTTGTGGCAGGGCTTTCTAAGTCCCTTGAGTGATCTGCAAAAAAATAAAAGAAAATGCTTTAAAGTTAATTCTTCATTGTGGACTTTTTAAAAAGCAATTTTTAACCCTTTCCTCATTGGAATAGATTTCGTAAATGCAGTCAAACTAAAGGGCCACAATGTGAAAGCTACCCAATATCTGAGTCAAGACAAAACTACTTGTCAAAAACATGTTGCCTTTTTGACTCTGGTACCCGTGCACTGTGGTTACTTTGGTAATGAACTGATAGATACTCCAGAGTTGTGCTCATGTGAAACTTTGGTGCTTTGTGGGCTGACTACAAGATGAGCGCAACGTTCACTGATGTAACCGTAGGTCAGTTCACAGAATGAAACTTCAAAGCTGGTTCTAGATGTGAAATGTTGCAGTGTTTAGATTGCACCGAAAGGAATAAAACAAATCTTTGCATTGCTGCTCGTCTTTCGTAAGTAATTTTGTGTGGTGCTTGTGCAGACAAGTACAACATGGATGCGTGTGCAAACTTATTAAAGTGTGTCTCTGCATGCATGTAGCTGTCTCTCTTTTGGACGAAAGGATGAACAGAGGTCAGAAGTTACAGCGCACAAGGCTGCTCTCAAAGTCATTAGAGTAATCCTAACCCTGGGGACCTCATGCTCATTTCCTCTGCACAGACCCCACTGAGTGAAATATGCATGCACATCTAACATGGAAGACAGAAAATTCAAACACTCCTGTCAAATTGCTATACATTTCCCAGACAGAAAAAAACAAAAAACAAAAAAATCAACATTTTTAAGGATTTTCTTAGTATAAACTGTATTTTATATAGCTTATTTGTGAGAGTAAAACTAGTATTACGTGGACAATCTCCTCCATGAGGATGGTGGCATTAAGACAAATAAAATGTGTTCAAACCCAGCATTTCTGTCCAACATTTACTGTGTGGTAAAAGCAGAAGGTTAGTTCTGTCCTCGCTTCCATGGTTTTTCTCAACAGAAACAGTGTCACTGTCAAGTACAGGAAGAACATTGAGGACAACTTTATGTTAATCATAATATATTCCATTTCCACCTTTTGGGTGTATGTAGACTTTTAGCATGGATCCTACACAATTGGCAGTTACCCACAATTAGTGACTTGAACTTTTGTGTGTCTTGTTTCACACTTTAATGGGATTCAATCAAGACAACCATGAAATGCAGTACAATAAAGCTACCAAAAAACATCAGAGCAATTGTAGTTGTGCAATTTATAGTAATGTTCTCAGTAATAACAATAAAGAAAAGTTTTTTTTTTTGCATCTTGTTCATGAGAAAAAGCATACCACAAAAAAGATCCCAGTAGATGTTCACATGGTCACCAGTGACACCAGACGATCCAACAAGACAGCAGTTACACTGGCCTACTCTGTCTTCGAACAGCCGTAAAGACAAAATTAATTTAAAGACTGTCATTCAATGAATTTCAGGCATCAGTTAACATCTGTGACCGATCATCAGAGTTGACTGTGCCCTTTGTACGCCTTCTTCCTTTGTGGCAGAAAGCACGCCTCAAATAGATATTAGGAGGAAATGCGTGGCGTCATTAGAGAATTGTCCTTGAAAGACTTGCTGCCGGTTATGTTGGTAATGAGGTGGCATAGCCACTTGGAGGGATAATTTCATATGTCTGTAAATAGACCCAAACAAATGTGAGATTATCTTTCAACCATAGCGACACTATAGCTGACAAAATAACGCTGAAAGAAAAACTGTGATTTCACTTTATAGATAGATAGATAGATAGATAGATAGATAGATAGATAGATAGATAGATAGATAGATAGATAGATAGATAGATAGATAGATAGATAGATAGATAGATAGATAGATAGATAGATAGATAGATAGATAGATAGATAGATAGATAGATAGATTACAGTACTTATTACAATATTGTTGACAGATTTGAACATTTTAGTAACTCAATCCATTAAGATAAATACTTTATAATTAATAATTACACACACACACTAATTTTTTAAATTTTGGTAACTGTGATAACTTATAGGTAAGATAAACTTATTTTACATTAGAATTCAGAAGACCAATAATTGATTAAAAGTCTGTTAATTACCTACTTTTAATCTGACAAATGAACCTCATCACACTTCATATTCTAATTTCTGAAATATGAATACATTTATCTATGTCATATGTAGCTGAAAAATACACAGCATTCCAAATGAGACATTTTAAATACTCCGACAAATGTTTGCACCTGAATTCAGAAGTTGCATCTAAGCAATGTTAAGCTAAGTGAGCATCCCTTTTTAAAAGTACTTTTAATGCTTTAATTTATTTTTTGTGAATTTCACGTCACATTCTTATGTTTCACTGACATAGTGGAGCATTTATGTTGCTTCTCTGCAGGTTCTATTTACTTTTGTGGAGATGAATTATGTGCCATTTATTTGAAAGTCTATTCACTTAAAATTTCCTTCACTGCTGTGTATTGGCAAAATATTTCCACAGCTGTCACTTTTCAGGGCATTTCAAAAGGGACCCTGTTTGGAATAAGTGCACACAACCAGAAAGTTACACTCATGTTTCCACATCTGTAGCAACATTTATTGAGGTTATAAATAACTGGGTTTAATTCCACTTTACACAACCTGCTTACCTCTGTGTAATTTACTGGTGAGCTTGAATATAAGTTTCAGTCACAAGTAATTAGAAAAAATTGAATTGAATCCCCTGCATAGAAAAAACACTAGATATTTAGAACAATGACATGTAATTTCTCAAAATAAACAGAATTAAAAATCTTTTTACCTTTTCTCAGATGAAGCACTGCACATGTATTTTTACCTTTTTTTTTGCTTTCAGTTTTTTGATGCATGAGCTACGCCTGTAAAATCTATTTGCATGCAAATTTTTGCATTTCCCCATGCCATCTATGA